TTTATGACCACAACAAACTGGGCCAAATGGCACACACACGGCACAGTCATGGAAACCAACCCCACCGGGCTGGCTAATAAGGGATTATTCTTCTTGCCCGGATACAATATATCTTACTCTGCATGCTCTGTTGTTGTTGTGGCCGCAGAGAGCGGGCCACATTGTGACCCACTTAATGATACGGGGGCGGCAAATTGAATTGATGCATATTACTTGATTATAGGCCTACAATTGGGCAAGCCGAAGTATCCATAGCAAATGTATTTTGCGAATTTCTGTGCCATTTACGATGTGCGCCATAACCGCTTGGGAATTATAATAACTTTAGAAATGAATTCGAAAAGCGCATGCATTTTTCAGATATATACAGAAAACTGTTTGAACTGATTGACTGACGAATTTTTTTTTAATGTGTTTAGGAACTTGCCAAAGTCCTGTCTTCAGCATGTTCAAGCCTCACAAAGGGTAAATACCTTGATTCGAAATGTGCTTTGATCGTCAATCAGTCAGTCAGTCAATCACACAATTTTGTATGTGTTGACATATCTTTAAGGAACTTGCCAAAGTCCTGTCTTCAGCTTGGCCCAACCTCACGAAGGGTAAACAGAAAAAGTAGTTTACTAGCGCCTACGATTCGAACTATGCTTTGATCCTCAATCAGTCAGTCAGTCAATCACACAATTTTGTATGCGTTAACATATCTTTAAGACAGTTCCCATGGCAATTACTCGAGGAATTTCAAGCTTTTGCCCAACAACTTTCGACGAATGCCGCCCCTTCGTTCGGCTCCAGTTCCTTGCGCTCCAGACGCCGACCTACACAGCCTGACGGGCTGCTAATCTGAAATTGCATTTGATTGTCGCCACGCAAATGAGGTTAGACTCACAACCACACACACGTACACACACCAACACACACATTCACACATATATGCACATAATTCCATATCAATTTACAGCAATTGCGGCACACGCATTCCCGCGTCTCCTCGCTCAACATGTAAAACTGTAATAATAAAAAAAACAAGAAGGAAAAGCCAGAGCGAAAATAAGGCAAAAAAAAAAACAAGAGAAGAAAATAAATATACAGTTCAAATTATTTTTAAAGCACAGTCGACCGAATTGGCCGAACGTTTCCAAGTTGAATGAACCGCAAACGGCCCAAAAAGGTGTCGAAAAATGTAAATATCATGCAGATGTACGTACAAAATATGCAGGTAAAACAAATCTGAAGGTATATTAAAACATTAAAAAAAATAGATAAAATAAAAATAAATATATGCATATATTAACTTAGGTATAAGTAAGTATATTGGAATATAATAATATATATAATAATATATAAATACATCCGATGTCATAGACAAAGATGTGCCTGAAGCGAACCCCAAAAATGATTCCGGAATATATATATATTATATATATAGGTTATATATATTACGAGCATGTAAACATGATAATATCAATCTCATATAGCTCTATAGGACAAATTCCATCTTTTCCAATATATCCATGTTTCTCCAATATATTTAAATACAAGATTCACAATACTCCCCACATATCTATGAGTCCGTAAATCTACCATATCTACAAAGATATTTAATCTTCGACGTGCCATTTTAGACTTTGTTCTGGAGTTTAAAATAAACAAACTCTTGGGGAAGACTCTGACTCGAGTCAAAAATAACTTTGGCCCCAATCTATGCATTTATCTAACGCTATTTGGCTGAAGCCAAATATTAAATAAATTAACTGAAGTTTCAAATTTAACTTTAAAATTAAACCGTTTCAATATAATATTGAAATTAGATGCAAGCCGAGGAGAAACGCGAAAAAAAGGGTTCAAGGAAATGGAATAAAAATTTGAAAAATGTTTCTAATAAACAGAAAATCGGTTCGTTATGTTTTTTTCCCTTGGGTTTCAGCCCTGTTCGAAAAAAAAAAAAAACCAAATCCAATCAAATTCGAGTTGCCTTTATAAAAACTAATTAGCTTGAGAGTATATCAGAAACACTTAAGGTAAAAACTTGTGAAAACAGAAAACAATTTGACTAGGATATATCCGGCAGATTGTATTACGCAAATTAGATTAGAGATCTATTTGTTGTTTTACATTTGCAATCACTTTCTTTTAACTTGGCTTTCAACTCTTATTCATTTCTTTCTGGCTTTTGTGTCGCTGCTTTATGTTCAAATCAATCTGTTTAGCTGCCTAACTTCTCCACTTTCATTGTTTTCGCCCAAGCAACTTTACGAACTTGTTAGACTCGCAATATTCAAAACGTATTTCAACTGATTCATTGCAGGCCTTATCTGCAATATTTCCTGTTTATATAGAGAACTCTTATTATAAATCTTCAATTCCGTTTAATTAGTTGTATATCTAGAAATGATTATTCGCTTTACTATTCTCTGTTTAAAATTCTTCAAAATTAACGAAAAATTGTTTGTTAAGCTCGTAAGTGTAGTGCCAAAGAGAAGCCGTCCACGTGTAGAGTTTTCACTGTACTTAATGTACATATAACTAATACTTATTACTAAATACTTTTTACTTGATACCTATCACATAATACTTTTTACCTTATACTTATTACTTGAGCTAATTCAATAAAGAATTTTTGTGAATGCAAAGTTATATCCAACTGATCTGACTTAAGCACATATCGTATACGCACTATCGTATAAACTATCGTCTACACTATCGTATATTGTTCAGAACAGCTGGAAACAGATTTACTTAATCAAAAATTGTGTTAAACAAGCAAAGCTTAATTTAATTTATCTTTTTTTTTTTATTTTCTTTTGTTTTTTGTGGCAAAATTTGTTGCTGTCTGGCGGTTTTTTTTTGTTTTTTTTTTTGTTTTGTTTAAATTGCACGCAAAATGAGATCATGCAGCTCGTTTCGGTAGTTCTATCCATGAAATCAAATTTGTTAGTTGTTTTTTCCAAAAAAAAAACAAAAAGAAAAAACCGTTTAAATTTTGAATGCAGGTCAAACTTTGTGTACACATAAATTCATATATGTATACACACATTTACACACATACTTATGCATATTAATTGCGGGCCATAATAATAGAGACAGGCGGAAATTCATTTTAATAGTGTTGCATTCGACAAACAAATTAAATGAAATAAACATTTATATTTATTCATATTCTAGATATTGCTGCGTAGAAAAGATCGATTTGATCAAAGCGGGGCGTTTATAAACGCTAGCGTTTTCCTTGCGATCTGTCAGCGTCGCATTAAGCTGTAGATAAACAGCATAAGCTTAGCTTGAAGTACTCATATACACACATACACATATAAACATATGTGTGTATGTAGTTGAGTTGTGGATTTACCGTTTTAAATTCATGTTGAAAACGCGCGCGTTTTGTTAGCGAACGTCGCCCGCGATTCGCTCAGCATTTTAACGCTTATGGCATATAATTATAAGTAATATAATTAATTGTTACTTTTACTTAAAGTGAAAGCTTAACTGATTGTGGGTGATCCCCCCCCCCCCCCCCCCCTACACCGTTCAGGGCCATTCCCTTCCTTCTGTTCCCTCATACCCTCAGAGAAAGAAAAAACCCACGTTCAACTCACCTGTTGCTGTTTATTGTTGTTGTTGTTCTTTTTGTTTGTTGCTGCTGCTGTGCTTATTATTGTTGTTGTTTTTGATCTTCTTTTTGCAACCGGTTATACTGAGCTTTTTTTTTTTTTTTGTTTGCTGGAAATCGTGTAAAATGTATACAAATAAAAACTGACAGCTTGTAAATTGCTCAAACCAACGAAAAGAAAATTCATCTTTATTTTTTTTGAATGTCATTAAACAAAAAGAGATCAAACGAATGAAAAAGTTGCTATTGAAGTCTTAAGGTGGTACGCTGTTCACAGTTAGCGGAAAGAAGCGTTTCGCCAATTGCGACATTAGAAAATATCGATTTTTGCAATTTGCGGGGGCGGATCGGATCGATTTGCCAAATTGGATTGAATCTCCAAAGCACTTGACAGACAGCCGAACATTGCACAACACTGGCAAAGCTCGGTTGCACTTAATGACACAGGGTATAAAAAGTGCCATAAATGGACAACTACAACTTTGAACACATTGCGCACCATTTTCGTACTGCAGCATGTATGTGTGTGTGTGCGCGTGTCTTTGTGTGTGTTTATGTATCTGCCTACATATTTGTATGTTATCTTATCGTGTGCCTTGAGCAATTTCTCATTATCAGCTGATAAGAACGACGGCTGTGCTTTACAATCGATCGTTGTCGTTGAAAATATTTGTTGTTGTTGTTGTTATTGTTTGTTAATATGCCGGAAACAACGCTTGTAACTTTAGTCATATATTTTAACCTGGGCCCAGAATTCTGGCATGAGCTCATGACTAAAGTTTCATTTTGAAATGGCAGCTGACGTCATGGCCTCCAGCATTGAAATTGATCAGCAAACCAATCGAGAGTTCGTGAGTTGATCGAAGCGGGATTTGGCGCAGCATTAGAGGATGATGATTCATAAATTAATGCAAACATATATACGGTATATACATACGATATATAGTTAAGTAAATGAGAAGCGCGCGTGCTTATGATCGGCATTGGCCAATGACGTCATTGCGAAACAAACAAAAGGGTTGCACTTGAATTATTTTTAATTTTTTTTTTTTTTTTGTATTTTTTAAAAGCAAAAAACGTCTAAACGTCGAACCTGAAAACCAGCTAAGCGAGCAGCTGGTTTACCTTCAGAGATCGGTATTCAAATTGGAACAATTGTACAGTGTCAGTGCACGTATAGACAACACATACACACACATACATAAATAGAACACTTGGAAAAATTGCACTAAAACAAAAACAAAAACAGAATACAAACAGCACGCACACACGATTTACATCTGTGTATGTGTGTGCGTGTGTGTGGTCGTGTATGCGTATTAAATTACGCATGCACGCGTCTATTTTTAATAAATTTAACCGTTGTTTACGTCCTGTTGCGCGCGTCACTTACAATGTAAATACAGAACGCGCGTAAAATGCCGGCTACAAGATGTATACAAAACAAAAGCTCGCACTCAAATCGCGTCCAACTCGTTCAATGAATTTTTTTCGACTGAATTGTCGCTACCGTAATCGGCTGTGCTCGTGTATCGATAGGCATAAGACACTATGTTGTGGTATTTTTCATGTCGATGTATCGATGTATCGAATATATACCGAGCATGCAATGTACATAATTGTGTTTATCTATTTAATTATTAAATTAGAAAATGTTGATACTAGTTAATAAGCCAACAAAATAATATGTAAATGCTGCTGTGGTAACTAATCTACGTGATTTAAATAATAAAAAACACTTTGTATAACGTCTACGCAACAGCTGTGGGCAACAAAACGACCAATAGATGGCGCCACCACGAATGACTAAGAGATTTGCGCAACTAAAAAATTGGCGCGCAATAGCAACAACAAGACAATTAAGTGCGACAAAATAAGAAAAACAATTGGCTGTGTAAATTCGAACATACATATGTGATTAGCAATGAATTGCCCTTTAAATGTAGCTAACAAAACCGGTCACGGTTCGCTGGCCTATAGCACAAGCACGTGCTATCGACATTGAAAGTAGCACCCCTTCATCCGAATGCCAAAATTATGAAGCCAAACAAAACAATTGTTAAGCCAAAGGCGTAGCTCAGAAACATGTCAGCCAGCGAAACATGTGAAGTTGCCTGGCTGGTTTCGCAAATGCGACGCATACTTTCCAAGCAGCAACCGGCGCAGGCGCCAACGAGAAGCCAGTTAGAAGCGAGGCCTGCAGTCGAGCAGCCGTAGAGAGTAGCAAAGAAAGTCCCAATTGAAAGGCGAACTCAGAAAATGCAAACCGCATTCTTGTTGCTGATTGTGCTGGGCACAACGGCGGCGGCGGGGGCGGCAGGTAGGCTACCAAATTTCACTTTGCCCCCACATACAAATTGTGCTATTTAAACTCGACTCCGTTTCAGTGGCCCAGGCCGCCATTCGGCCGCAGTCCCAGCGCGGCATTGTCTTTCCCAAGGAATCGTTCGACGATTGTTTTGCGGACGAGCAGCAGCGTGTGCCTGGCAACTGTAAGCTGCTGGAGGATTGCCCCGCTGCCTTGAGCCGCTGGGAGCGGGAGCATGTCACACCCAAGACCTGTTATTTCGTCAAGTTCGATCAATACGTGTGCTGTGCCCTCAACAGCAGCAGCAGCAGCAGCACGACCAGCACAACAGTGCGTCCAACTCTGGCAGCTCTTATGCAGCGACGCAGCGATCGGGGTGCGTATTATACATAATGTATAATACATGTTTCCTGTTTAACAGCAAGATATTTGCAGCTTGCGAGGCTGCGCTTGTCTTTGGCATCTCCATTGTGGGCGGCCGGCCCACCAAGCATCGGGAGTTCCCGTTTATGGCCGCGCTGGGCTGGCGCTCCAATTTTGATGAGAGCATTTATTATCGCTGTGGTGGCAGCCTCATATCGGATAAATTTGTGCTGACGGCGGCGCACTGCATCAACTTTGGCGGTCAGCTGCCGGTCACGGTGCGCCTAGGCGGCGACAATCTAACCATTGGCTTGGGTGAGGACCACATGATCAGACGCGTTTTTGTGCATCCCGGCTACAATGACAGCACCGCGTATAATGACATTGCGCTCTTGGAGCTGGAGGAAGCGCAGCCATCGGGTCTGCGCATTGCGTGCCTTTGGGCCAGTACCCAGTTGGCGGAGAAAGATCTAACAGCCATTGGCTATGGACAGATACGTTTCGCGGGCCTCTCCTCGTCGCAGCTGCTCAAGGTCGACTTGCAGCATGTTAGCACCGATCAATGCCAGCCACACTATCCGCGTGACGTCCTGTCCGACGGCTTGGCCGCCAGCCAATTGTGCGCCGGTGACATGCGAGCCATGGGCGACACCTGCCAGGGCGACTCGGGCGGGCCGTTGCTCATGCGAAACGGTTCCAGCTGGTATGTGGTGGGCGTCACCTCGCTGGGCCAGGGCTGCGCCAGCGGACCACCCAGCGTCTATACACGCGTCTCCAGCTATCTGGACTGGATTGAGGGCATTGTTTGGCCCAAGCCCGAGGAAGAGAACCAACAGCCAACATTCGATCTACGAATGTCCGATTGAGTTGAACGGAGGCAGGCGCCAGACTAGTGACTAGACCATCAGGGGATTCCATTGCAAATGTAATTCCCACAACATCAATTGGTTGTATCTAGCCGCTGACTCAACGTGCATCTGCCTGCCTGGGATTATTACTCATGCGAAAGGCCGTTGGAAACGAACCTCGTGTGCTTTACCATATTCGCAATGCTCAATTTAACTTATATTATATTATTAGAATTAGCTATAGCTGAGATCCTGGTACGCTTAAGACTATTGGGCTTGCCATTTGATGACTGTCTTAGCAAATAGTTTATTAACGAATTTATTTAACTGTGACAGCTTTTGTTCTTTTTTTTTTTAGTCGAATGTATTAATTCAAAGATCAAAGATTGCATATCTTTTTTAAATTAATTCATTATTTTTGCTCTGTATTTATGTTCACATTTTTATATATAATCAATGGAAAAATTTCAGATTTACGAAAATTGTGTAATTCCTTAAAATGGAATACTTTTTTAAACCAAACATATCTAACGGTTCTTATATTAAACTGAGTGTGAAGCATACTTTTAGGAGGCTTTAATGAAATTTTTACTTGGATAGAAATGATAAGGCATCTATAAATGTACCAGAAGTTAGCCCTTAACCCGGTCTATGTTGACTTGATATAAATTCTTATTTATGTATAATGTTTATTAAATATAAATGTAAACATGTACTTACCCAAAAGTCCACATACAAGAAAAAGCAGAAGACAGAATTTGATAGATGCACATGGCTATAAGAATGGAAGAAATAGAGCGGAGGTTAGACTAAGAAAGGAATTAAAATGGAGGGGAAAAGATAGAGAGTAAATACGAAATGGAGTTTAATCAGAGATCAGAGCTTATTCGATTGTTAACACAACTTGACAATAACACGCTCATGATCCAAGCTCGAAAGCCTGTATACCTTGCTTGAATTCATGAGAATCGCATAGAAGGGCGTTGTTTAAAAAAACACTGTGTGGCCTTCGTAGTCGATCTCTTGGGGTTTGGGCTGTGCATAGATCATCAATCAATCAATCAGTCAACTAATCAAGGAAAACAGTTTTGCATATTAAGATTTTTAAGATTATGTGAAGTATGTAAGAAAACTGAATACTCTATCATGCGGACATACAGAAAAAATCAATTAATTATATCACTTGAAGAATGTTATTTGATATAGATGCATGCGGGAATAGACTTTATGTAGCTACATCCGCTATATCCAACGTATTGGGAAGAATCTCCTAAAAAAAAACGAAGCGAAGAGTTCAATTTAATGAATTAACCAAGGATACTCTATCGCAGAGTACGTAGCTAGTTCGTTTAGTTTTCTTAGTGACATTCTTATGGGCTGGGAATGCTTTGCCCACGGTGCTTGTGCAGCTGTTTTTTGCATAACAGCTGCCACAGCTGACTGAGATTGGACTTGGAATAGCCGGTGCCAGGCCAAGTTGTGCATAAAAGCCCAGTCAGTCGGGAGGCAAAGGCAGTTGACGTCGAACGTTTACAGTTAATTAGAGTCGCAGCTATCGAGCCAAGATGCATCCACAACAAGAAGCACACCTAATACTGTTGCGCCTGGTAATCCTGAGCTGCTGTTGTGCTCCGGCACTCTCCTATCTACCGGATGTGAATATATTCACAAACTACCGCACGGAGGTGTACAATGGTGAGTGTATCCCAAGTGGTTCCATCTCTTTTGGGCATTCCACAATGGCTAACCATATGTTGCAGGCATTCCGTCGGACATTGATACGACACCGTTCATACGGATTGGCGACAACTATTACTACATTGAGCCAATGAATAAGGTGAACTGGTTCCAGGCAGCGGCTGCCTGCCGCATGATGAACGCTCACTTGGCCTCCATTGAGGATAAGCCGGAGCTGGAGGCGCTGGTCAAGTATATTAAGGCCAAGGGCTTCAAGAATAACGATTACTTTTGGATATCCGGCAACGATCTGGGCACTGAGGGCGCCTTCTACTGGCTATCAACTGGCCGCCCCATGACCTTTGCACCCTGGAACGGACCCAAACAGATGCCCGACAATTACGGCGGCAACGAGAATTGCGTCCACATGTTCGGCACTCGGGAGCTGATCAACGATGCCAACTGCAAGATATTGATGCTGTATGTGTGCGAGGCCAGCGATCCGAAGACCTTTAAGTTTACCTACATCAAGTGGTAAACGGGACAATACCTATAATTATATATACATACATACATATATTTTGCATTGTTTTTTTTTGTTTTTTGTTTTTGCGTGCACGCAACACGGCATTTATTAGGTTGCCGCGGCAACGGCTTCCACTTCATCATAATATTATGATCGTTGTTCGACTTACGCATAAATTAGCTAAGTATACATTACACATCAGTTGATTTACTTGTATGCATATAATAATTTGTTACGAATTCACCTTAAATAGCTATGAAATTTCGTCATATATATATATATATATACATGTATAAATATATATGTATATATATTCGCATTGGATCGGCTAATACTATACATATATCGCATGACCACGTACATCGCTGTAGCCGATAGTTGTACATCGATATATGCATGCATTTTGCCAAATACACAAATCAAATACAATGCCATAATATATATATATATATATATATATAAAAACCGTTACATGTTACAACTTACTTGGCTAGGCAAACAGTGATCGGATATTGGAAAATTTACGACATAACCTCAACACTAATATTAATATCCAACTAGTATGCATCCTGTGTGTGTGGGTGTGTGCTACTAACATATGTGTGTGTGTGTATTTTAATTGTTTGCATCGTTTTCAAGTCTTACAGCTTAAACCTAACCTAACTTTTTTCGACTGTATTACACACGCACGCACACCCCGTTTATTCGTAAGTATGTATGTACATGTGTACGTATGCATATTTTTATCAATTAGTTCATATTAACTACACATTATATATATAAATATTCAACAGACGAGTGCATAAATTTAATAATTCTTATTAGTTTTACTTTGACATTCTAACATTATTTCGTTTACAACGCATCGTCTGCATGTTGCTGTGTATGTGTGTGTGTGTGTGTGTGTGCGTGCGAACAGTACTGCATGCATGCGTGAATTTCTATGTGTGTGTGTTGGGTGTAAGGTGGGCTTCAAAGCAGCTGCCAAGTCGCAAGCTCTCAGCTGCTGTCGAGAAATGATTGTGCTGTGGCGCATGGTAGGAAGGGAGGAAGGAAGGTAACTAGAAATATAACATTTTGTCAGTTTATGAATAGTCGAGAAACTAAACTTAGCCAACACTGGCAAACGTTGCCATATTTTCACTGCATGCACAATTCTTAAGTTTTTGGTTTCTTGTCTCTTACAAATGGAAAGAACAGCCTAAATGTTATACATGTACAAAGTCTAATGTTTTTTTTTCACTTATGTTTTGTTTTAAAAACCTCTCTCAAAATGGCAGTACGTTTAAGTTAAGATTTAAATAAGGGATGGGGGCAAAGAAGTTCTGGCCCATAAGGAAGTTCAACGGGGTTTAGTGGTAAAGTTTTCGGGTCTGCCGAAAAGAAACTAACAAAAAAAAATGTACGTAAATTTATATAAATATACATGTATATATGTACACTAATAAATGGCAGGAATTGCATATGCATATAGTAAGTTTATGATAATGAATAATTGTACACCGTTGTGGTTTTTAGTTTTTCTTGGTTTGTCGGTTCTTTTTTTTTTTAGTTTTTTGTTTGTTTTATCTTGTTTTGTCGTTTACTTTTTTTGTTTTGCTTTAAAACACATTACATTTGTTTATGCTTTTCAAAAGCAATGTGTTTGTACAATTTTTGTGGGTTTTTTTTTGTTTTTTTGTTTTTTTTTTTTTGAGGCGCAGAATTTTAAATATAGTAATCATAATAGTACAGTATTGGGATATTCAATAATAATAATAATAATAATTATGATAATAATAATAATAAAAACATTTGAAGCATTAATAAAAAAAAGCAGCTTATCGTTAGATCAAGAGCTTATCATGGAAATTACACAATGCTTAATGTTAAATTTAAACATTATTTGTTATTCCCTTCTTTTGTTTTTTTGCATTCGTTTTTTGTTTTTGTTGTTGTTGTTATGTTTCTTGTTTGACGCGCAATTTCACTTAATAATATTAGCGTGATATTTGCGCGTGCATTCTGATGCTTTTACACTTCCTTTTTAAGAGTCGCTCGGATATATACACACTATATGCAGCGCTTAAGCTATAAGCATCATACTAGACTTATTTAATAAGATAATAGGTATCCATTGTTTAAAAAAAAAATAGTAATTATAATAATTATAATGAAATAAAAACAAGAAAATCTAGTTGCCTTATAACTATACAATTTTATACAAACTCTAGTATTCTTATTCAAATAATATTTCATATATGTACTTAATTTCGTACTTCACATTTCGCTTTACATAACTTAAATGACTAATTTTGTTTTTGCCTTAAACGCAGTTTATTTTGTTAATCAATTATTTAATATATATATTTATGTATATATATTTATATAATTTTTTAAATTAGTTTTCTTTTTTTTTTTCAGTTTTCTTTCATATTTATTTTAAAAACAAAATGAAATACCAACTAGCGCACAAGTAGGGCAAAGTGTAAGTGTATATACTATATATAAGTATATATATATATATATATAAATATGTGTGTGTGTGTGTATTTAGGAAAGTTCGTGTTTGTGGGGTAGTGTAAAAAGGCGCAAGCGAGACAGCATTACACGGATTATGCATCTATTGTGAATGGTTCAATGCATTATTTAATTATATGGTTTATATTTTATATATATTTAGAGAGAGTACATACAGTTATAGTTACAGTTAATTTTGTGTGTGAGTGTGTGTGTGAGTGTATGCTTCTATATGCAAGATGGCAATTTTTTCACTTATTTGTTATTAAAGGGATTTTTTTTATTTTAATTTATTTATTATTTTATTATTATTTTTATTTATTTTTTTTTGGAGGGGGAGGTTGTTGAGTATATAATTTGTTGTATTCATAAACGTTGAAATGCAAAATTGCTAATAAAAAAATATATAAATATATACAAATACATACGCCTACATGACATATGTATGTCAATACGCGTTCACATATTCACATGTGCATACATAAACAAATATTATGTACATATACATCATGTGCATATGCATAAATGATTGAATGTGATCTTGAAATGTGGTACACAAAACTATCAGAAACACACAAAAAAAAAAAAAAAAAAATTCTAAACGCACGCAGCTAATATAGATAATGCACATGACTATTTCCATCTCTTTCGCTATCTATCTTCTATCTCTTTCGCTCACTAAAACTCTGCTCTCTCTCGCTCTCCATCTGCTATCAAATGGCCAAATCTGTTTCTGTCTCATCATCACACGTTTCTCTCTCATATGGCTCACTGTTGCGCGCTCATTGAATTGATTTCTTGTTCTTCTTGTGCTCGCTCGCACGCTCTCTGTCCCGTTCACTTAACTGTTGGGTGGGTCAGTGGCCGCCATAGCGTCTCTGGTATTGGATTTGGGCCTGGATATCCTCAGCGATCTTCTGCAGTGGCCAGCTGGCCGGAAGCCGAGTCCGGGGATTCACCACCAGAGCCGCAGCGCGGTGAACGGGGGGACGAACTGCTTGAGCTGCCAACTGAGGATTCAGACGATATGGAAATGATTGAGGAGGATGAGTTGACGAGACGAGTGTCGCGCATTTGCTGCAAACGGCTGTTGCTGCTGCTGTTGCCGCTATGCGCGCTCGTTGTTGCCGCTGCTGATGTGCAGGATGATGATACTGTGGGCGAACCTACCGCTTTTGATGCGCTCGACTGGAAGTGCCGCCGATGCTGCTGCTGCTGCTGTTGCGGGTGTTGCGGGTGCTGCTGATGATGATGATGATGCGGCTGCGGCTGCTGTTGCTGCTGCTGCTGCTGATGGTGATGGTGGTGATGGTGATGATGCTGCTGCTGCTGTTGTTGTTGTGGCTGATGGTGATGATGATGATGTTGCTGGTAGCCGCCACCTGAACTGTTTGTCCCACTATTGCTATTGCTAGTGGCCAAACGCAAATGCTGCGGCCGCTGCTGCTGCTGTTGTTGTTGCTGCTGTTGCTGCTGCTGGGCATGATGGCCATTGTAGCTGCTCGGCTGGGTATTGGAAATGGTCTTGGTCAATTGCTGCTGCTGCTGTTGCTGCTGCTGCAAGGGTGGTGGCACATAGAGCGGCTGACGGTAATACGAATTCGAGTGACTGCGCTGCCCCGCCTGCTGTTGGCCGTAGCTTCGCGTCGCTGTATTCCCGCCGCTGCTGCTATTGGCTTGGACGTGGCCGGTGGTTGTGTTGTAGATATGACTGTTCAAGACTTGATCATCCAGTCCGTCCGCCGGGGCATCGCTGAGTTGCTCCATGTCTGGCTGTTGTAGTTGTGAAGAAGATATACATGTATGTTGGCTTGGCTGGGCCTGTGGCTTGGCTGGCATGCTGGCCGCAGTTGCTGCACCGGCGACGCCGCCGTTGGTGCGCAACAGTTGCGCACGCGGCGTGGCATTTGGTTTGGGAGCAATTGCGGCCAGCATGGCACAGCCGGCGGCCTGCTGCTGCTGCTGCTGGTGCTGCGGCTGCATGAGGCCGGCAGCCATTCATCATGTATCTATGCGTGTGGGTGTGTGCATTACCGACGAGCCCGACAACGAGCTGTTGCTGATGGCCACCATTATCGGCTTGGGTACAGTCACGGGCATCGCTGCCACATCCAGTCCATTTGGCGGCGATGAGGTGATGTCAATAACCTCGACAACCGGCTGGCCAACAGATGTTATAGACTCCCGTTCCCGGTCGCCAACCTCGCAGTCTTTGCTGTCCTCAGAATCATCCGCCGATGAGGTGCTGCCCCGCCGATGACGCAGCGCCGTCAGATTCAGATTGCTAGCCAGCTGCGCCTGTGGCGGCAGCTGATGCTGCTGCTGCTGTTGTTGTTGTGCAGCCGCTGCCGCCGCCGCTGCTGCTGCTGCTGCCGTATGATACGGCTGTGCCAGCGCGTGCGGCTGCAGCACCGTATGCGGATGATAAATCTGATGCACTACGGCACCGGAGGGCATGATCACATACTTGGCGGCCCCATTCGTGTAGGCGGGCAGTGGCGAGATTGGATCCACGGCGGTCAGATACTCAAAGTTCTCCCGTATCCATTCGCGGTAGTCAATAACGTCATCCGTTATGTGTATAATGCGCCCTATATATTTGTATATACAGATAATCAAGAACAAAAATTGATATTAGAATCGTCCAGTTGCTTTATAAAAGCACATTTCAATCGTCAAACAAATAATGGTATGCAAATTAATTTCTTCTTATGTTTAAAATCAGTTTAAACTCAAAATGTGGTCGTCTTAATTGGTCCATTTTGTGCTGGATAGAGTAAACGCTATGTCCATTGTCTGGATCGAAGCCTAATTCCTTTTTCATGTAACCAATCAGAGTAGAGGAATTTAAAAGATGAATACAGCTGCGATTCATCAAACTCTAATTTTAGGCATTGATGCTATTAATTTACAAAAATCAAGACATTTATAAGGCTTCTTTTTCATGTACAAATAAATGATTAACTTCTGTTTTACATATCATCAGATTTGTAATAGTTCTTAATATTATTTGAGTTTTTCAATAATAACTTTCAAGTAAAATTGTAACAATTATAAATCGAAAGAATCAAAATATATCTACTCATCGTATTCGTACGATCAAAAAAAAAAAAGCCGGATGTAAGTTCAAAGTTTATCTAACTCATTTCGAATTCCGATTCAAAGTTCTGGACAATTCTAATTTCTGTTAGCACTGCATTTAAATTGAAAAAATATGCAGCTCATTTTGAAATTTGCCTATGCTCAAACTTATAATAATAACATAAAATGCGAATCCAACTATATATTAAATACATTAAAAGCTTATATCTTCTAGAGTTCATATACATAAAGATTGAGATAAGCTGATCTCAAGATATATGTTGGATATACAGACGGGGTAGTTGAGGCTTCTCAAGTTGGTAAAGTGTTTAGCTCTATTTAATGTTCACTCACCTAATATGGATGTGACACGTGCATCGGTGCCCCAAAGATTGAGCGGACTGACCGCCTGGGTGAGCACACGATAGGCACATTGGAAGGCCTGCTTAACATGGAGGGCACCGTAGCTGCTGCGTCCGATATCGTTGCCGGGCGTTAGGGGATCCTCAATGCAGAGTAAGGATGGCCTGTGGCCATCGACCATGTCGCGCTGCAGCTCATCCTTGGGCATATAGCGTCCGCCGTTCTTAATGGAAATGCCAATTTTCATATAGTTAAAACGACGACCGTACAGCTCAAAGAACTCGAGCAAGAGCACGCCCAGATTCGTCTTGTCGTGACAGATGCCGCGCGGATGCAGTTGCAGGAAACTGATGCACATGAGTATCAGTGAATACGATGAGATGCCGCCCGTGAACACCTCGTTGAGATCGCGCAACAGTAGAAACTGCTTTAGCACCAGCACCAGCTTGCCCAGCACAGGATAATCGCGCTTAAACTGTTTGATCAGCTCCGCGGACTGTACGCCCGACTGCATGTTGAACGATATGTCGACCTTCACCTGCGTCTCGCGATCTGTCAGCTTGATGATCGGCACAGATGCCTTGTCCAGCACTCGGACCGTGCAGGCCTCCGCGATGTTGCGCGAAACAAGCTCAAATTCAAGGGTGCGCAACGGCAGCTTCTCCCACAGACCTGCAAAAAGTAACAACAAAAAAGAGGGAGCGAGAGAAGGGAAAAAGAGAACAAGCTTCATAAAATTGCTGCAGAAAATATGTTCGACCATTCCAAGCGATAAAAACGAAAAGAACTCTTGTCAATATTAAATAAAAACAAAAAACAAAAAAAAAACTGAATTAATGTTGAGCTACGGCCTGGCAAATCCAGTTTAAAAGCTGACTGTGATTTTCTTTAAAATTAATATTGATAGTATAAACATAAGAGTTCGATTTAAGATCAATGAAAAACTTTGATGGTTTAGAAAACATTTGGGAACAATTTAAGATGCGATTTGACAAGCATCCAATTACAAAAAAAATATTTACTTTTGTAGCACAAATTGTGTTTTATAATACTTTTGATTGCAACTAATATATACAAAGCTATATTTATATATGTTGAGAGTATCGTATAGCAATATCTTCTCGTGTTAATCTCGATTTGGAACGGTTTATATTCAAGCTTCAAACTTGATTGAATACAAAGCAAAACATTTATATTGCTTAGATTAGTGTATATGTTGGGATTGATTGCAATACTCTGCCGGATAGCTCACCTAGTACCACTAGATCAATATCCGAGGTGGGTAAAAAGAGGCCGGTGCGAAAGGAACCAAATATCTCGACCACCGCCTGCGGCCATATGGAATGGACAACGGCCTCGATGCGCTTGACCACCTCATTTCGAATGGCATGCTCGCAGGGCGTGGGCAGCACATACTGATAGAAGTGATCGATCTCCTCGTGCAAACCAATTATACCGTCACCGTACTGATAGTCGCGCACTCGCCACGGACAGCCTTTATATTTGGCTATCATTTCGGCGTGCTTGTTCAGATTTAAAGTGCTCGACTTGTTGTCCACGACGCGTTTCCTGCGCGATGGATTATAATAGGTGTTGGCGCGCTCGTGCAGCGGCACCTTGGACGCGGGATTGGCTACAAAACTGGTGTTGTTGCTGCTGCTGTTCGTGGTACTGCTACTCGTACTGGTACTGGTACTGGTGGTACTGGTACTGCTGGTGGTACCGGTGGTTGTGGTAGTGCTTGTGGTGGTGTTCGTGGCGGTGGTGTTGGTGCTATCACCACCTGTCGGCGTCGTTGTGCTGTTTGAAGCAGCCACTGTTGCTGTTGCTGTTGCTGCTGTTGTTGGTGTTGTTGGTGTTGTTGTTGGTGTTGTGGTTGTTGTTGGTGTTGGCGCTGCTGCTGTTGTCGGTGTACCGTTAACTGAATTGTTAGTGTTGGCGCTGGCGCTGATACTGCTACTGCTGCTGCTGCTTGCTGGCGAATTATTGTCGTTGTTCGATGTGGAATCGATAGACGTGTTGCTTGAGCTTTTGCCTCCGTTAATGTTGCTGTTGTTCCCGTGACGATCTGGCGTTTCGTTCAACTGCTGAAGAAGAATTTGTAATGAGTCGGGATCACGCAGGCTGATCGTAGGACCGTTGCTTATTATCCTAGATAAATTGTTTGTGGCCACCGCGTTGTTGTTATTGTTGCTGCTGTTGCCGGTGCTGCTGTTGCCGTTGCCGGTGCTACTGATGTTATTTCCGTTACTGTTGATGCTGCTGCTACTGCTGCTGCTGTTGTTGTTGTTGTTATTATTATTATTGTTGTTTTGCTGTAGCTGTTGCTCAAGAAGTGCACCCATCTCCTGGGCATTCGTTTCCCAAATCTTTAACCATGTACGCAACGCTGGTCCCTCCTGTTCCTCCTGAAACCAGCCAACACACGGATCCATTCAAATGGGCGTTTTGTGTGCTGGGCAGCGAATACGCCTCCTGCTTTCTGCCTTCACTTCTCTGTCTCTGTCTCACTCCCTCTCTCTCTCTCTCTATTATAGCGTGAAATGTAAGGATCTCTTACGCTTCTCACCCTCACTGTAATGTCACAGTCGTTGTGTGCGGTCTATATGTATATGTATGTGTGTGTTTGTGTCTGTGTATGTATTTGTCTAGATGTGAGTGTTGATCAACCGACGCCGCCGCTGTTCCTGTTCCTGCCGTTGCTGCTGCTGGCGTTGTTGCTGTCGAGCGGCTGTGTTGAGCGGCGCGTAGTTAGTGCATATGCAACTGCAACTGCATTTGCCTGTGGCTCTGGCTCCAGCTCTTGCTCTGGCGCAGCATCGGCGTTTGTTGACAGCGGGGGGGTGCAATGCGGTGTTTTAGTTGTAGTTGTAGCTGTTGTTGTAGTTGTAGCAGTTGTGTTGCCTGTGGGCAGCTAAGCAAAGCTAGTCCGTCTAATCTCTGACGGTTTTCATAACAGTCCCAAATGTGCAACTACTCACTTTTTAGATACGCAACGCGGCAAACTTATTTGCTTGGCAAGGCTACGCCGTGATGTTCCGTCTCAAGCGGCTGCAACTGCAATAAAAAACGCACAATGATTAAAATAAAAATAAAAAAACGCTCTTTGCGAACCACTTGCTTTCCTAAATTTGCAAAACATTTTTTGACCCGAGCTCAAGATGTTGCATTAATAAACAAGCTGACACGGCGTTGCCACTGCTGCCCAAAATTTATTCAACAATGACAATTGACGCATGTATGGCAACTCGTACGCTCTCTGGCTCTCTTTATGCGCATCAACGAACGAAACAAAAAAAAATAATAATAAATAAAAGAGAAGAGATCATGCATACGTCGTCTCGTGACGTCAGGAATGCGCGATCTCATTGTACCATGACAAACCACATACATACACGCCCAATGATCGCATGTGTTATCAAAAGTGGATTTTACTAAATAGAAAGCGCAAACAATTGCATTGCAAATTATGCGCTATTTTTCTACAAATAGAAATTCATTGGCGCCGCCCTCGCAACTGCAGTCGCAGCTGCAAGCTACGTCGACGCCAAATGCAGCTGAAGCGTAGAGAGCAATACCGGCGGCGCCTTAGCTGTGCAAATATTCGTACATTTTTTCAGAGCACAAATGTGCTTAGCAATAGCTGAAATCGGAAAGAAGCAGAGCCAAATGGGCCAAAGAAGACAATAAAATACAAATATACATACATATGCATATGTATAATACATACATATACATATGTATATGTTTTCGTTATCGCATTGGCAAGTGAGCAGCGCTCACGAGACTACCGCAAATCACTTCGTTTAACTGTGTGTGTGTATGTGTGTGTGAGCGCGCAAGGGCGTACAGGTGGCTTATGGCGTGGGTGCCGGGAGCGCGGGCAATGCAAATAGCGCGCACATGTACATATATTGGAAAGAAAAAGAAACGGCAACGATGTCGATTATGCAAAAACTGTTAATTATGCGTATTTTAACCAATTTATTCACGCGCGTACACAGACACGCACTCACATGCAGTTGCATTATCAAGTTCAAACCTAGACGTGAAATTATAGCACACACGCACACACATTATAAAAACGCACGCGACACTGTTATATTTACCAGTCAAGATATCTTAGCTGCAGCAGCATTGATCTTTTAATTAGACAAACACAAACATATGTATGTATTTACATACATACATATACATATATACGTATATATACATATATATATATATATACAGAATTTGGCAAATTAACACTTTCGGCTTTTTGTGGTACGAGAGACAGACAACACGGTTTTCATTTCACAAGTATGTATTGTAAATGAAAAAAAAAAAAAAAGAAGAACGACAGACTGTGCTCAGGCTGCTGCACTGTTAGCACAAATATTATACAATAATAACGTTTCGATTTGTTTAACTGCTCTCCGCTACAGACAATATTCACAGTTAAGAGCTACTGCTTTGCTCTAGCGTTGCCGCATGCAGGGATGTGTCTATCGTAAATATCGATACACATCATATGACATCGATTGTTGGTGAATTTCCAGCTGCAAATATAAGTTTGATTGAACTCGAAACAGCGGACCTATCAACTATGAGAAATCACTTAGCAAAACTTTCATAAGCCTAATTCTGGCACTTATTATTACATAATATATACGGCCGATAGATCGGCTAGCGTTATAAAGATATAACTGATCACTGAATTCATTTCATTTGTAACAAAGTGAGAAGTATTTTTTTTTTTTAATTTAGACCCGGCAATGGCTCTCAAAAGCTGAGAAAACGGCGCTGTTGTCAAATGTAGGTCGGCGTTGCCACCTGATTTTAAATCGTTATGCAGTACTGCGCAAAGGCGACAATGGACAAGCATGTAAACATTTAATTTATGCAACTGCTTGCAGTGTGTTAAGAAAACTTTTTTTCTAGAATTTACAATCGTCAGATTCACACTTCCCACAAAAATAGATGTTTTTTTTCTTGGTTGTTGTATTAAGTTGTACGTTTATACCCCAAAGCCCAATCAACAGACACCCACTTGCCCCCGCCCAAAAATACAACTACTACTGCTACAACTACAGGCGCAAAATGTATCTTGCACGTACACACACGCACACAATGGGAGCGATACGCAATCGACGTCACACACACACACACAAACATACATACATTCAGAGAGAATCTGATTTAGCTTCTTTCCTGCCTCCGATTTGCTTCTCGCGTAATTCCGTTGGAATTTTTCACACATTTTTTCTTTACCTTGACGAGTCTGTTCTCGTTGCGTTTGCGTTGTATTTCAAGTTTAGCAAATACACACACACGCCACTAATACACACATACACATGCACATGCTCACCAAAACGAAGTTTCAATGCGATTATACTATTTTTTTTGTCTTCTATTAAGTAAATGTTTGGCTAAATTTGGTTAAAAACAAAAAAATAACCCACCCCAAGATTCATTTGTCATCGTTAACGAGCGGTACGGGTGATTGCTTATGCGCCGCTTGCAGCATTTGTGGCAATCCTTATAAGCACAATTAAGTGCTTTCATGCTTTGGGAACGACCGCTTGTCTGGTTGCTATGCCTTTTATGCACATACACAGACAGGCACACAAATATGGACACATACACGCACGAATTTGTTCTTTCGAGAATAGCTTATTACCGTTTGCAAGTTGAATTGCTGATTTGTTTGCAAGTTGATTACAATCAGTACGCTGTTGGCCCAGCGTCAATTGGAATTGGTTTATTTGCGTTTTCCAAGAAAATTAAAAAAAAAACGCTAGCGAAATTGCAATTTATCTACGAACACGCGACGGCTACGCAGTATTAGAGATGAACAAAATTCAATGATAATACAACCCTGTGCATATCGATGCCTACTATAATAGTAAGAACTATCGATACTATGCAAGAGATGATGGGTCGCAATGGTCGATAAGTAACAGACTATAATTTCAAAAATGTTGTACTAAATGTAGTCTTTAATACTTTCATGTTGAGTTGATTCAAAAATTACACAAGCTTGTAATATCGAAGCCCCAACTTAAAACTCCGTTTTTTTTTTTTTTGTTTATTTTGCATACACACAAAAATTTCATGTTTATTTATTGTTTCGATTTTCTTAACTTGTTAGCTGGTTGTTACTTTCGAGTTCTTCTATTGTTGGTATACTTAGCGTTTTCCAAAATACAATGTAAGTACATACAGACATGCTACATGCTCATAATTTTATTGTTACTTTAAATTGTTGTCTTGAAACCAAAGAACTTCGTTTGGCGTGTCATTGGAAATGACAACTTAAAATGTTTCTAGTTTGTTGTGTATTTTTTGGTCATTTATTTGGGATTGTTTTTGTTGTTGTTGTTGTTAATTTCTTTCGTTTTTTACGCGGCAACTAATTTGCAGTAGTTTGTACCTTACGGAAATTAGTTGTTCTTTTGTTTTTTTTTTATATATATTTTTTATTAGCTTCATTTTTGTTCCTGTTGAAGTACATAAATTACGTAACGTACTTCCATAATGGCTTGTGTGTGGGCGCAATTACACACCGTTATTAATTCATGATGTAGTTCGACTTGTAGGTATAAATAATTAGTGTATGAATGTTCGTACTTGCCGTCGTTAGTTATAGTTTTAGTTTAGTTTATGTACGCTTGTATATGTATACATACATAAATAGCTTTTTGTCTTAAACATTTATAAATATGTATTTCGGTTTTCTAAATTTTTGTTTTTTTTTTTGGGGGGGGCTCTTTCATTTTATATAATTACGTTAAACATTCATTAAGAGCTGCGCACACTCAACAAATATTACATACAGAGTTGTTTGGGCTTATAAGTTCCTATTTGTTATGCATTTAGCTAGGGTTGCAATAAATGTACTCTTGTAATCGCGCCCAATTTCCGTCTGTTCTGTGTACAACATTTAAAGCTTGACTATTTGTTTGTTTTTTGTTTTTTTTTTTAATGTTTTTTTTATGTGAAATATTGGGAATAGTTTTTGAACCAGCCGCACAGTTACTCTACAATAAAATTTCGCCACTTTTAGGGGCGTATTGACGCAACATTTAACACCTATGTATGTATGTATGTATGTTCTTTTTTTTTATTAAATTAATTTTTTTTTTTGGTTTTTATAGAATTCAATTTGATGCCGCATTTACACATACACATATCGTAGTTAATTCAAGTTTGTGGTAAAAAAATCTAAAAAAAAACGTTTCCCTCTCTGTGGGCATTTTTCTCTATACCGATCTGATATTTGGCTTAGGCCACAACAACATTTTCATTTAGTTTAATATATTACGTTTTTTTTTTTTTTTTTTTTGAATAGAGGACATTCGATTGCATAGCTTTTGTCCCGGCTGGGCTTAAAAGTGGTTCTGTTTGGCTTTATTCGACTTTGGACCAAGCATCGCCTAACATTCTAGTTTGTTTAAAACGCAATCTCTTGATAAAGCTACAACTCGTAATGCCCTGTACCAATAATTTGCCCAAATGGAATATTATCTATACTAAAAAAAAAAACTGCTTATATTGATTATAGTCCATGACATGTACGGAAATTGTTATATTTTATGCATATTATAATTTCAACTTTGGCTTAGCATAGGGCATCATATAGTCGTTCATATGCGACTATCACATTTATTTATGATTTTTGTTTGGTTTTAATTTTCTTTCGCTTTTCGTTAGTTTTTTTTTCTTTTAGGCGCATTTTAACATTTAGTAAGAAAGCATTTAAATTTCTTTATGGTTTCGCTTGGCTTGAACTACATTCAAATTGTTTCTAGCACACTTTTTAAAACATTTATATATATATTTTTTCTGTCTTAAATACACTTGTAGAAGGTCGGAAAATGATGAATGCATGGAAGGAGTTACCGTAAAATATATTTTTATTTTCAAAAATTAAGTTTTTGTATCAACAACTTTTTTGCTTTTTAATTCCAGCTTGACAAGCCCAGTATATATCATTTTTACTATGCTTCATATTTGATCAACATCGGACTATATTATTATATTATTTAGGAAGAATGTGTCAAAGAATGGGTTTTTGAAAGGAAAACTGTTTTGATTTTCATGATATTTCAACTCTGCAATTACAAGCTTCACTTTCCTGCTCACACATCTGCAAAAAGCTGTACGCCATAATTCTACAAGGGTATTCAATATTCGGCGTGCCGAAGGTAACTGTTCGTTCTTGTTTTTGTTTTGTGTGTTTAAGTTGGACATAAATTAGGTGTGTTGTTTAAAATATTAATTATTAATATATACAAAAAATAACGTTCAGTCAAATATATATATATACACACACATATCCACACATATATATATATATTTATATATATATATATATATTTATGTGTACCATATTCGTCTATATTTTAGCATTGCTATTGATTTAAGCCAATCTATAACACAGAACACATACATACATACACATACACATATAAATCAACAATTATGAGACATAAAACCATAAAACGGCATAATAGACATACATATGTATACATATATATTGTATGCACTATATTCTAGCATGAATATCATTGTTTTTTTTTTTTTGCTTTTGTTTTTTACTGCTAGTTTGAAAATTTGGAATGCTTATCTATTCGGCATTTTTGTAATATTTCCCCTACGATATCCCAATATATATTCGCTACAGCCCCATGACAAGCAATGGCATCAAATTGTTTAAACAATTTCTAATCCGTTTTGGTTTGTTATCATGTAATACACAATAATGTGTTAATAATCAGTCGCATAAATGAATCACCTTGCTTTTGTTTTGCGTTATAAACTGGCCTATAAGAACGCTCTGCTATCGCACATCTCAACAAATTTCAACACACGCACACCCCAAAAACGTTGTCACACGCAAAATACCAAAAAAAAAATGCTAAAAGATACTGCAATAACACTAAAAATACTGACAAAAATACTAAACTTGCTGACAAAAATACCAGAAAATAATTAGAAATAACAAAACTTCCAAAAAAATACAACAAAAAGCCAACTTTGTTCATATTGAGTTAAAAATAATCACGCATACATTCACAATCACGCACACACACACATGCATTTACACTCACACTCACTCACACACACACACACACACACACACACACACACACACACACACACACACACTCATATACATACATGCACTCACTCACACATGCTAATGCTGAAGGATGCGGATCTTCTTGGCCAGCGTCGTTTCGGTCTGTTGGAGCTTTCGTTTGCTACTATAGTTGCAGAGCTTGCTGGAGACTTTGCTAAGTGTCATTGCCGATGAGGTCATGAGGTCAAGCGCCTGGAGGCTATTGTCCAGCTCATCCAGGGCTGAGAGCGCCGTTGTCTGGTTGTTGCGCTCGCCGGGATCCAGTTCGATGTCGATTAGCTGATTGGCTAGCGGATCCTCGTCATAAGGATCGTAGGGGGGTCTTAATTATTGCTTGAACACAAACAGACCCGTTGGGTCCCACTCGTTGTCGTCGACGGGGCCGAAGCATTCATCGAAATACCATTCCATTGTCTTGTACACATGACTGAGCGATCTGGCAATGGCATGATCCTCATCGGGATATACCTGATGACGGAATTTCACCTGCTGATCGACAAGTGCTCGCACCAGCATTAGTGTATGCTCCTGATGCACCAGCGTATCCGCCGTGCCATGCATCAACATCAGATTCCGACCCTTTATATTGCCCGCCTTCATGGTGAGATCGGCCTCCTGCAAGGCGCGCAGATAGTCACCCTTTAACGGTATATAGCGCTCCGTGAAAAAGGAATCTGCCATGCATAGATATAAAATATTAGATACAACGAATTTCATGTAATCGTATATAAAAAGATCTGTTTGAATACAACAAAGCTTCTTTTTACTGTAGTGCCCTTTCGTAACGTAAGATAATTCCACCCGGAATGACGAAAAATGGGCGAAAATGTTTGCCTCGTCATTAAAATGGATTCTAACTAATTTTTGAAATTTATGGGGTGAATCATTAATGACGTTTATTATATTATATTGCCAATTTAAGGAAAATCCAAGTTTTAATTTGTCTTTTTTTAATGAATTCTCAAGGTTGTAGAAACTATCAGGCATTACCCAGCCATGCCCGGGCTTGTCAACCACATTCTGCCATTAAAAATTTAATTATGCAGAGCTTTAAAAAAAGAGTTTGAGCCGAAAACTATATTTAATATCCGCTCATATGAGCCAGGAGTCATGGATTCCACGAAATGTGTGAAGTTTGTACGAAGATCTTTGAATCAGGGCTGAGCAGCTAGATTGATCAGTTAGTCGAGCAGTCAGTCAGGACAAACAAATTGTATATTGCTCTAATTGAGTTTTGATTAGTCTAGAATTGTACTTCCTTTTGTTCTATATACTTGTACAGTGAACACTCACAGTGATAGCCAAAGCTGACAATGGGATTGATGGCGACGGCGCACTGGAGCACCTGTTGCGAGTCATCGATGAGCATCATGGCCGAGGCGTAGCCGCCGTAGCCCCAGCCAAAGGCGCAGATGCGCAGCGGATCTATGAACTTGAGATTGTCGCGCAAATAGCTGAAATTGGGATTGTGGCAACATAAGAAGTCCGGCAATTAGGCTAGACTTACGTGAGCACACCGAGCTGATCCTCGATCTCAACGGTGCCCAGCTTGCCATGTACCTGGGTGCGTAGCAGCTCGCCCTGGTAGCCGCTGCCG